GAGGTTGGCCCAGGATCGAGCATTGTTTCGTTCTGCTGTGCATGGGGTCGCTATGAGTCGGTTCCGACTCGATGGCACCTGACAACAACAACAACAACAATGTTTGCTAAATCTTTCTGATTTTCTTCTTTTTTATTTTGATGTGATATATATTTTTTGAGGTTACCCAGTAATTTATTGGGAGTCCTGGTGTAGCGCTGTGGGTTAATCAGCCAGACTGCAAAGCCATTTGAACTGCAAGGTCAACAGTTCAAGCTCACCAGCTGCTCTTCAGAAACCCTATACAGGGTCGTTATGGGTCAAAATCAACTAGACAGCACTTAAATCGGTACTGACTTAACAACAATAGCAATAATTTTTAACGTTTTCCCCTGCTTAAAGCAGTCTGATTTATCTTGAAATCCACCTGATTTCTTTGCCGTTTGGAAATCTGTATCTACACTATTTCCCTTTTTCGCTTTGTAATTGACTTCATTATACATTGATATCTCTGGTTCCTTATTTTCAGTCTTGTAGGTTTGTTTTACTTTAAATGCTTCTATATCTGGATTGAGTTCTGGGTGGTGTTGTCGTGGATGGTAATCTCAGGTGTTGTCTGCTGTTGTTGATGCTCAGTCCAAAAAAAACCCTTTAGCATTCTTTGTAAAGTTGGTCTGGTCATTACAAATACCTTTAATATCTGTTCATCAGGAAATGTCCTAATTTCGCCATCATATCTTAAGGTCAATTTTGCTGGGTATATGACTCTTGGTTAGCAATCTTTTTGTTTCAGAATTTTGTATATGTCATTCCATTGCCTTCTGATTGGTTCTCCTTTGTAGATAACTTTTCATTTTTCCCAAGCTACATCCAGGATTCTTTCCTTGTCTTTGATTTTGGAAAGTTTGATTATGATATGTCTTGGTGATTTTCTTTTGGGGCTCTATCGTATTTGGGGTTTGTTCAGCTTCTTGTATGCTTATCTTTCTTATCTTTTATGATATCAGGGAAATTTTCTTCCAACAACTCTTCAACAATTTTCTCTGTGCTTGTTTCTGTACTGGAATTTGATGATCCATAAATTGTTCCTTTTCGTGATGTCCCACGTAACTCTTAGGTTTTCTTCAGATTTTTTCATTCTTTTTTCTGATTGTTCTTCTAGCATACCAGTATTGAGAGATTTGTCTTCAAGCTCACTCATTTAGGCTTCTATTGCTTCACATCTACTCCTTTGCCTTTTCACTATATTGCCAATTTCTGAGATCACAGTATTAATCTTCTGGATTTCTAATTGCAGATTTTGGATTGTTTCAAAATTTGTATTTATTTTGATTGTTTGTTCTTGTAGTGTTTTCCAGAATTCTTCTAAAATTTTTATTGTGTTCTCCTTGCTCTCCTTGATCTTTCTATGGATCCTTTGAAGATACCTAATTAACATTCTTTTAAATTCTTTTCAGTTAGTTCTATTAGCTTTCCTTCCTCAGAAAGCTCTCTGACTCTGCATCTTGGACATTTGTTTGAGTCATTTTCTCTTGTTTCTTCCTGTGAGCTAAAATTTTCTGTTGTCTCTGGGGCATTGTGAGGTTGTCATATTTGTAAAAACAAACAGTGCAGTTATTGGACCTTGAGAGGAGAAATCTCTGAGTGACTCCTGCAATTCAAGGAGCTCATAAGGTGATTGTGGAAAGGATATAACAGCAGAATTCCTGGCCCTAGATGAAGTTCTTATTGGCCTTGGTTTTATCTACATTCAGGGTATTCTATCTGGAAGTAGTTTGTGTGGGCTTTGATGGAGCTGGTTTCAGTATCTGTTAGGACCACAGGGAAGCTGGGGGTAGGACTGACTGGTTAAATGCTGGTCTGGTGGCTCTGCAGGTTTTGTAGGTTTGAAGCAGAGTCTACCTGAATCCAGCCCCTAACCACATGGCTCTGAACTCCCAAGTAGCAGGGTCTGCACTGGGGGTAAATGAGGGTGGGAGCTGGCCACACTTCTGGTCACCAGCAGAACACTGGAAAAAGAAGAAATGGTACCTTTTCTATCACCCATACAAATCTGCTCTGCCAGGCCTCCCTCCACTGCCAAAGCTGCTCACAAGATGGTCAAGCTGCATTGGCCAGACACTCACCATTCAGTCTCCCTCTCTTGCCCTCCCTGCTTGTCCTCTCCTCCCAGCAAGCACTCCATCCACCTCTCTAACCTTTCTTCTGAAGTTCAGGGTGCCAGAGTTTTTATCTCTGACTGTTTAATTTTGCCCCTCCTTTCTTTGTTGTAGAGGATCTGTGTATTATGTGTGTTTAGTTCACCATCTTGTCACAAGTCCTTAATTATTATTCTTGTAACAGAATGATCTTTTAATACTTTTTACTGTAAATGTACAGAAGTGAACATTATAGACTAAATGTGAGAGTCTTACTGATTACGAAATTATGTTCATGGCAAAAGCAAAACAAAAACAAAGGTTCAACTATTAGCAGTTTATTTTATGAGGCACTTGTAACTGCAAGGTCAGTAGTTCAAATCCACCAGCCGCTCCAGGGAGCAAAGAGGAGGTTTTCTGCGCCTGTGAAAATTTATCGTCTTGGAAACCCTACATAAAGTTGTTGTGAGTCAGAATCATCTCGATGGCAGTGGGTTTGGTTTGGTTTGGGTTTTGTAACTCTACCTTGAGCTCCCTTGTACCCTATTATTAGCTGAAGAGGTCCTCGTGACTCGAGAGAGGTGCATTCTGGGAATACACTGCCAGAGCATACCCTGGGAGTCTAACCCACAGGATTCACTGTAGCTGCAGGGCACTGAAGTTTAAATCAAGGACTAACAGGTTTGTGCGGAAAGATAACAACATGAGTTAGTAAATGTCCTCATGCATTTTCCTAGTTACTTCCAGGAAAGGTTTTTCTTGAGGTGCCGCCGATAAAATACAAATGTTTCTAAAGCTGACCTAGTGCCTTAGCCCCAACCAAGTTGATGGAGCCACACATTGCTTAGTGGTGGCTTAGTTTAGCACGGAGCCTAAATGAATTACCCGGTTTGGGTAAGACTGATCTGCAGCTGTCTCTCCCAACTTCAGCGCCCAGCACCCAAGTTGACTTCACTCTCATTTCTGCTCTCCTCCCTCCCTTTCTGTGTGAACTCCCATCGGATGTGCACACTCCCATCAAGCCGGGTTCACACTCACACAAACATCCGCCCCTGTAGTACACGCCCGGGCGGCTGGGGGCCTCCTCCCCGAGTCTCGAGACTAGCTGCTTTATGGTCTCCAGTCTGGCGCACGCCCTCCTCCCAGGCCCCAAGTTCATCTCACACACGGTGTCCGGCTTCCTGTCCTCGGCCCCCTCCCGCCCCGCTTCCCTGGCCCCTCCCTCTCCCCAGCCGGCCCTCTCGCCCGCCCCCCTCCCCGATCCCTCGGGTCCCGGGATGGGGGGGCGGTGAGGCAGGCACAGCCCCCCGCCCCCATGGCCGCCCGTCGGAACCCGAGGCGGAGGGGGCGCCGGGGGGCGCCGGCCACCGCCCTGCTTGCCCCACTCGCACTGGGCCTGGGCCTGGCGCTGGCCTGCCTCGGCCTCCTGCTGGCCGCGGTCGGCTTGGGGAGCCGGGCGGCGCCGTCGGACCAGGTGAGGCCCTGCTGCACGCCCCCTGGGCACGCTGGGATGAAACCTGCGAGGAGGGAGGACAGAGGGCACGGGGAGGAGGCTGGCAGGAAGGCGAGCTGTCAGGTGGAGAAGGGCATGGTGACACTGCCTTTTCCCCAACAGGAGCCTTCCCAGGGGGAGCTGGTGTCAGAGGAGCATGAGGACCCGCCGGTGAGTGTGGCTGTCTGAAGACTGCTGGGCTTGTGTGTGTGAGGTGTGTGCAGGGTATGTGTGAAGGCAGGTGTGCATGACAGCAATGTGTGGGTGAATGTGTCCCAGCTCTGGTTGTGTATGTGTATGTGAGAAAGAGAGCTGTGTGTAAGAGGTTTATACCAATTTGTAGAGAGTATAAAGTGGTGATTGGCTGTGGGTGAGGTGAGGATGTGAAAATGTGAACTAGCATGGAAAAGAGGGATGCTGGTATACACACAGGGTGTGTACCCACTGGGCACACTGTACTCACGTGTGGAGCATGCGCTGTGTGCCAGTTGAGCACAGGGTATGAGTGGGTTGGGGGTGGGGGGTGGCGGGCAGGAGGACTGTGTCTGGTCTGGGGAAATGGATATGAGCTGAGATCCAACCCCAGAACCTTGCCTACTAAGACATCTGTACCTATTGCTGGCTGGTGGCTCTCCTGATAGCCCCAGTCTATCTGAGTTTTTGACTCTTGGGGTCCTTGGCAAGTCACTCTTAATCCCCTAGGAACTGAATCCCCAGGCAGAGGAAAACCAGGGTCCCATGCCAATCCTGAACCGACTGGCTCGGCCTCGCAGAAGTGGTGAGCAACCCTCTACCCCAACCTCAGGCTGGTCTGTGGTGGCTTCTGGATTCATGATTGCTTTTTTTCATGATAGCAGTCCTGTGCAACAGGCAGAACAAAACCCATCACTTAGCCTTCTGGATGGAGAAACCGAGGCTCAGAGAGTGAAGGGGAGGGAGTTCAGAAGGCAGTCAGCAGTGAAGGGGACCTAGGGATTCTGGCTCTTCTTTTAAAGTGTTTTCCATCACATAGACCCACTGCTCACTTCAGATCCCACCTCAAATAGGAAGGGGATGTCCAGGAATTAGGGAGGCCCTTGGGGTCTTGATGAGGACAAATTAAGGGAATCAGAGGCCTGGACCCTAGTAAACAAAAAGATTTACGAGTGAGCTGACCATGTATACTGATTTGCTGAAACTGTCCTGGTTTATGTCCATTATTTTGGTGTGATTGGTAACAGGAGTTCTTTTGCTACCAAAAGCATCTTGGTTTGTGTAATAAATCATGCAGTCACTCTATCTTATGGAGGAAAAGAAATTCTGAGGCTACAAATCTGGACAAGAGCACAGTGCCAGGGTCCTAAGAGGGGAGCAGGACTGGATGTGGGGTTCCTGGGCTTCCTGGAAGGCACTGTATGATCCATCGATTTTTTCCTTGACTTTCAGCAGCTAAAGGCCGGAAAACTCGAGCTCGAAGAGTGATTGCAGCCCACTATGAAGGTAGGTGATGTGAGCCTGGGAAGTGTGGTGGCAGAGGGGCTAAAGGATGGGGGACAGGCCTCACCAATCACCAGCCCTTTCCTGCATTTTACAGTTCACCCACGGCCAGGACAAGATGGAGCGCAGGCAGGTGAGACCCCTTCCCTACCGCTGAGCTTTCCCTTATTCCCACAGTACTGGCCTCCTGGGAGAGGGGCCCTTCAAGACCTTTTTGACTCTACCTCACCCCCACTTTCAGCTCCCTCCCTTTAGTCACAAAACCAGTTTATGAAATCCTTAGGACTTGGTTCTCTGTCTTTATGGCCCATACTTGAGGCCCTGGAGGACTCCTCCACTCCCTAGGACTAAAACAGACTCACTCCCCCACCAAACCACCAGTGCCAGCTTTCTCCTGCGGCCCTCACCTTTCTCCAAGGAACATCTTAGATTCTTTTTTCTTCTTTCCCCTTCATCTTCCATTAGTTTTCAAGTCCTGATCATTTTTCCTCAAAATGTTTTTAGTCTCTACTCTTCTGTCATACCACACTTCAGCACCAAGTCCTTGGAACCCCAAACCCAGCCTCTAGCTCCCTGCCCATCCTAGGCTCTCCTCACCCCTTCTCTCTGCCCACCTGTGCTGCCAAGATATACTTCTTTAGCCTTCACTTCCATGTTTCCATTCTTTCTCTGCTTGACTTTCAGCCTCTCCATGATCTGCTCTCACCCACATTTATTTGCATTCTCTGGAAATCTATACATTCTCCACATGTGTTGGGCTAATCTCCACAAAGTACCTCTTTTGGACTTAGCACATACTGTTTCCTCTTCTGGAATACCCTTCTATTATGATAGTCTAGGGGGCAAGAGACAATGGTGACTTGATCTAATATATTGGCAGCAGAGATAGAGAACTGTAGATGGATTCAGCAGATAGAGATAGAGCTTGCTTGTGAATTGGATGCGCAGGATAAGGGGAAGGGAGAAATTTCTGGGACTAGCAATGTCATTTTTTATGAAAATAGAATTGACCAGGGAAGAAATAGGTTGAGAGGGATAAATTAATCCTTGAATTTGAGATGCCTAATAATAAACAATGGAGCATGGTGTCTCCATACGATAGGCACTGGGCTGTAAGCCACAAGGTCTGAAGTTCAAGCCCACCAGCTGCTCCGTGGGAAAAAGATGAGACTTTCTGCTCCTGGGAAGATTTAAAGCCTCAGAGACCTATCCAGTGTCACTATGAGTCAGAACTGAGTCAATGGTACTGTGCTGTAGGAGTACTGGACTGCTAACCACAAGGTCTATGGTTCAAATCCACCAGCTGATCCTCAGAACCAACTCGATGGCACTTAACAACAATAAAAATAAAACAAAATGTGAACTCTACAAATAGATAATTGGACATACGAGGCCAGGTCAGAGGTTAGGTCGGGACCCATGAAATCAGGAGTCATGGCCATATTTGTTGTTGTTAAGTGCCGTCAAGTCAGTTCTGACTCATAGTGACCCTATATAAGGTTTCTTAGATTGTAAATCTTTGCAGGAGCAGAAAACCTCATCTTCCTCCCACCAAGCAACTAGTGTACTTAAGCCACCAACCTTGTGTTTTGAAGTCCAGTGCTTATGTTTTAGAACTACTGCATTCCTACATGGCCATATGCTATTGTTATTAAATGCCATCAAGTCGGTTCCAACTCACAGGGACCTTGTATAGGGTTTCCAAGGAGCAGCTGGTGAGTTTGAACCTCCGACCTTGCAATTCAAAATGACCTTGCAGTTCAGTGCAGTAATGCAAAGCACCACACATGGCCATATGGATGGTATTTAAAGCCATAGGATTGGGTGAGACACCAGGGGAAAGACTAGCTGGCAAAAGAAAGGCCCCAAGAACAAAGCCCTGTGGCACTTGGACATTTTGAAGAAGAGTAGAGGAAGGGAACCCAACCAAGGATACAGAGAAAGGGGAAGAAAGTCAGAGGAAGGCAGTGTCCCGAAATCTAAGCAAAGACAAGGAAAATGTGACTGTGCTGAATGTGGCTGAGAGGTCACATGAAATGAGAACAGAGAAGTGACCACTGGGTTTGGTAATGTAAAAAAGTCAGTTGGTAACCTTGACACAGGCACTTTCAGTGGCGAGTTTAGGGTGGGAGCCAACATGAATTGAATTAAGAAAAGAATAGGAGATAAGAAATTGGAGACTGTGACAACTCTTTCTAGAAGTTTCTCTATGACAACAATAGAGAAATGGGCTAGTAGTTACAGGGGGGTAGATGTGAGGTCAAGGAAAACTTTATCTTTTTAGGAATGGGCAATAATGCAATCATTTTTGCTGATATTTATTGAGCACTTACATCTTCTAGTCCATGGGTTATTGTTGTTATGTACCGTGAAGTCGGTTCCGACCCATAGCGACCCTGTACAGGGTTTCCGAGGCTGTAAATCTTTATGGGAGTAGAAAGCCTCATCTTTCTCCCATTGGAGCAGCTCGTAGTTTCAAACTGCTGACCTTGCGATTCACAGTCCCTGGGTGATATTATGCAAATAGTTAATGAGCTCCACTGTTAACAAAAAGGTTGGAGGTTGAAGTTCTCCAACTCAGAGATGCCTTGGAGGAAAGGCTTGTCTATCAATTTACAAAAAAGCAGCCATTGAGAACCTCTGGAGCAAAGTTCTATTCTGACACACCTGGGGTCGCCATTACTCTAAACTGACCATGTGGCAGCCGAGTTTCTGTGGCACCTGTTCTATTTCATCTGATCATCACAACAGCTCTCGAAGGAAGAGATTCCAATTTCCTCATTTTACAGATGAGAAAAGGAGCCCTGGTGGCCTAATGGTTAAGTGCTTGGCTGCTAAATGATCAAAGGATGGGAGTTCAAACCCACTCAGAGGCTCCTCAGGAGAAAAGACCTGGCGATCTGCTACTGTTAAGATTACAGTCTAGAAAGCCCTGTGGGACAGTTCGACTCTGTCACCTTGGGTCATATGAGTAGAAAATTGACTTGATGGCACCTAAAAACAATAGATCAGAAGATCAAATCTCAGAGAGCTTATATAACTTGTCAATGGTCATAAAGATAGTCAGTGATGGAACCAGGATTTGAACTCAGCCAGAGTGTATTTGTGTATGGTTCATGTGAGAGGTGAAGTTGCTGGTGCAAGGGTGTAGGGTACCTGCAGGGGCAATGACCAACCTCGGAAGGGATGGTTCTAGAATCATCATAACAAGAAGGTCAGAGGAGAAGGTGAGAATAGGTGGGTTTGTGGATTTAGTAGATGAGGAAGGCCCTGCCTTGTGACTTCTAGGTTATTTGGAGAACTGGGGGGACGGGGTAGGAGATGTGAGGAGAGACATTTCAAAGTGCTTGACTTGGTGAGTGCAAAAGCAGACTTAGTGGAAGAAAGTAGAAGGGTAACCAGGCAATATGGAATTGTCACTTGAGGTTGTGGTTGTGACACTGCAGAGATAGCCATGTGGTGTCCAGGTGCACCATGTTGTAATGTCTTCTGCCACCATCAACTCAAGCTGATTCCATAGCTAGGAATGCCCTTCCTCTTCTTCACCCAGGCCAATCTTTCTCCCCTCTGTATAGACCACTTGTTCTAGCTGCTACCCAGACATTCATTCACTGACTTAGTACCTATGTACTAAATCCTGCTGTGTCTCAGGGACTGGGCTAGGTGTCCACAGTGAGGAATAACCAGACCTATCCTCAAGAAGTCTAGAAGAGAAGAGGTAAGACATACATTCGTAATTACAGGACAAGTACAAATATGAAAGTAGCCAGAAATACATGGTGGCAAATAGGGGGATAAACTTAACTTTATGATGCAAGTCAGGTTCTCCGCCTCCAAGAGGGTGTGGCTTTCCTGGGCCTTGAACATGAGTGTAAGATGGACAAACAGTCAGGGGCATTCCAGGTAGAAGGAAGCACTTGTGTAAAAGTCCTGAGTTTGCCAAGAGTCTGATGAGACGGGAGGAGTGTGATAAGTCCTGTGTGGCTGAGCAGGAGCTGGAGAAGAGGACAGGAGTCAGATCACTGATGGAATCTGAAGTTAATCTACCATGAGGCATTGAAGGATTAAAGCAAAGGGAAGTAAATGAAATGGATATTTGAAAATGATCACCCTGTTTGTATGGAAGGAATAAACAAGGAGAGTGGAGACTGGAAATAGAGATTCTCCTTGAGAAACAGTAGGGACCAGACTGGTAAGGGAGATGGGAATCTATGAAGAAAGTTGTAAAGGAGAGGGAAGCTTTAGCATCCAGTGGGTGGAAGACTATGAGCCAAATGTGGACTATAAACAAGAAAGCAAGTTTGAGTGGGACAGGACAGAGACAAGTTCGTGTCTCTGTGTGTCCATGTAGCGTAGTGGTTACAAATTGGGCTGCGAATCTCAAGGTCAGCAGTTCGAAACTACCAGCTGTTCCACGGGAGAAAGATGAGGCTTTCTGCTCCCGTAAAGATTTATAGCCTCGGAAACCCTGTACAGGGTTGCTATGAGTCGGAACCGACTCCATGGCACATAACAACAACAACAATGGCTAGTCAGATGGTGGTGTTAGAACAGGAAATGTAGGCTAGAGACTCAAATCTGGAGTCTGCAGGATACCGATTGTGATAAACTCATGGGTGTGACTGAAAATACCCAGTGACCATACCGATCTTAAAAACATGACAAGGACAGATTCTGGGGCTGGCAAAGGGAGAGGAGCTACAGGAGGCAGCTTCAGTGACTCATTGAGGTCTCCCCAGGGAGGACTGGGAACTGCCTGTGGTCCCAATCGAAGAGCAATCTGTTGACCATGTTCCCTTCATTCCTTGTATCTTCCCAGCATTGTTTACTGGGTGCCCACACAGTGCTTCAGGGATGTAGCCAAGGCTGAATTAGCCAAGGTTGTCCCTTTCCTAGGCGTGGAAATCCACTGAACAGCAGTGGGTTTATATTTTAGGTTTGGTCCCTGACCTGAAAGGAACAGGTTTTCTGTCCCTGTACTGAAAGGAACAGGGTGATGTTAAGAGATTATGGAGGCAGGGTCAGGCCTGGCTGTTTTAAATTGTTGGCCTTAAATGGTCTTTTAAGCCAGTTGAGCCCTGAGGGACAGAAGGTGCAGCTCAGGGAAGGGTGTTTCTGGGAAGAAGGGAAAGCAGTAAAATGCTCAGCAGGGAGAATGGGCTTGGTGTGTGACAGGTACAGAAAGACCAGAGTATCTGGAGTGTTGTGCATTGGAAAGTGTGTGAGATTGAACTGCAAAGTTGAAAACGGCAGTCTATGGAAGACCTGGGAAGCCACTTAATATACTGCTTTATCTTTATTTTATATATATACATACACACACACACACATATGTATAATTTGCAATTACCTTAGCTGTAGAATTTTTTTGTACAAGTTGTATTGAGATATATCCCATACAATTCACCTATTTTAAGTGTATAACTCAATGGCTTTTAGTTTCAAAACCAGTGGGGACGGCAAAAATGACATGGGGGTGGCATCTGACCTCGTCTAACATCTCCTGGAGGAGAAAGAATCGCCATCATCAGTATCAGCTGTTCAAGGTCAATTCCTAGGAGTTGGGAGGCACATATGCCTCCAAGCTCCAACCTTTTTACCAATTCTGACACCACTGCCCTTCCTATGGCGCACTCTCTACTTCTCTGCTAGGTTTGACAATTCATTGTAGTGGCCATACTGAACTCACAGATCATACTCACAGTTAAGGAATTTATTATAGGGAAGTTGTTGTTATTATGTGCTGTCGAGTCGATCCTGACCCGTAACGACCCTGTATAGGGTTTCCGAGGAGTGGCTGGTGATCTTGAACCACCAACTTTGTGGTTCAAACCAACTTTGCAGTCCAGCGCATTAACCCACAGCGCCACACCAGGACCCCATTATAGGGAAGTAACAGGTTACAATTGAGGAACAGTTAGAATACAGTTCTTCAATCAGGAGGCTGTGCTCACAGGCACACCTCTCTCTGGCCCAACCTTTCAGCCACATGGCTCCTTGGCCTCTGGCCTGCTGAGGCAAGTGTCACAAAGGTCTTTTAGCTCTGCTGATAAATGACCAACACCCACTCCATTCCACCAATAAGCCTCTACCCAAAAGCACTGAGCTCTAGCCTTGTGAGTTGAGAAGCCTAGCTCTCCAGATACATGTCCAGGGTGGGAACACCGCACCCCACCAGCAAGCCTCCTCCCTGAAGGCGCTCATCATTATTGCTCTGTCGGCTGGAAAGGCCACTGCTCTGTCTTGCGCCTGCTCTGCTGCCTCTGCAGTTGCTGCTTCCCTGCCACCATGTCTCTGCCTCTGCTGCTTGTTGTCTCTCGCCATCTCTGGTGTCACAGCTATCTATCTCCTGGATCTAGGAGGTTCCGCACAGGGACCTCAGCTCGAGCTCCACTCCTGGCTCTTCTTTCTTGATGACAGTGAGATGCCCCCTTTATACCTCTGGGGTGGCTCATTTTAATCCTAGCAAAACTGACCAAATTCCCTTTAGGGTTCCATACACCTATTGGCATGGACCCACCCCACAAAGGTCCCATGTAGTTTATTTACATTGTTGACAAACTATCCAATCCCATTGGTGGGTATTAGACACCTCAGATTTGCATAGTCCTACCCCATCATTCAGAGTCCTGGTGTGGTGCTGTGGGTTAATGTGCCATGCAAAGCCGTTTGAACTGCAAGGTCGGCAGTTCAAGCTCACCAGCTGCTCCTTGGAAACCCTATACAGGGTCACTATGGGTCTGAATTGACTCGAAGGCACTTAACAACAACAACACCATCATTCAAAAAGCTCTGGTAGAGTAGTGGTTATGAATCGGGCTGTGAACCTCAAGGTCAGCAGTTCGAAACTACCAGCTGTTCTGTGGGAGATAGATGAGGCTTTCTGCTCCTGTAAAGATTTACAGCCTCAGAAACCCTGTACAGGGGTTGCTATGAGTCAGAACCAACTCCACGGCACAAAACAACCACCACCATCCCATCATTCGGTAGGAGTTACAAAGACTCTAACTATTAGGGCCACATTACATAACTCACCACACTCACCAGCTGCTCCTTAGAAACCGTATACAGGATCACTATGAGACAGAATCGACTCCACAGCACTTAACAACAACAACATTGTATTAGCATATTCCCAGAGTTGTGCAACCATCATCACTATCAATTTTAGGGTATTTTCATCAGCTTATAAACAAACCTCAAACCCTTTAGCTGGAATCCCTGGGTGCTACAAATGGGCTGATACCTAGAGGTTGGTGGTTTGAATCAACTCAGAGGCACCACAGAAGAAAGACCTGGCACTCTACTTCTAAAAGATCAAAACTATACTGAGTGCGGTTCTACTCTGCCATACATGGGGTCGCCTGGAGTCAGAATTGACTTGACGACAGATAACAGGTTTGGTTTTTACCCATTAGTAATCATCATGCAGAGTCCTCGTGTGGCGCTTATAGGATAAGCACTGGACTGCAAGGTCAGTTTGAACTGCAAGGTTCATGGTTCAAACTCACCAGCTACTCCACAGAAATCCTATCCAGGGTCGCTATGGGTCAGAACCAACTCGATGGCACTTAACAGCAACAACAGTCACCATCCAGTTCCCCGACTCGTCCTTATCCCTGCCGTATACAATCACTATCTATTCTGGACATTCCATATAAATGAAATTGTAAAGTACGTGCCCTTTTGTGACTGGCTTCTTGCACTCACTGTATGGTTTTCAAGGTTCATCCATGCTGTAGCATGTGCCCGTGCTTTATTCTTGTTTATGGTGAAATAATATGCCATTGTATGGATATATCACATTTTATTTATCCATTCATCCGTTGATAGACATTTGGCTATTTTATTTTTAATTCTAATAGTTCAAGTAATGTGTGAATAAAAAGGCAAATAATATAGACAAAAATGAAGTAAATACAGGAGTCCTTGTGTGATGTTATAGGATAAGCTCTGGACCAAAAGGTTGGTTTGAACCAGAAGGTCAATGGTTCAAACTCACCAGTTGCTCCTCAGAAACCCTATACAGGATTGCTCTGAGTTGGAACCGACTCAACGGTACTTAACAACAACAAAAAGTAAATATAAAGCTCACATGCCATTTTTTCTTTCGATTGTACTCTTCTCCTCAAACATGACCACTGATAACAACTTGCTCTGTAGCTTTCTGGTCCTTTGGTCTACATGTTCAATCATATATCTGTTAATAGTGCTACACATAACTAACTCCCTACTATATTGCTGGACTCTGTAGAGATTGGCTCCTCCTTTGCTCTGGGTGATCTATGCCTTCTGGGTAAAACCAAACCCACTGTTTTTGAGTCTATTCCAACTCATAACAACCCTATAGGACAAAGCAGAGCTGCCCCATCGTGGCTATCGATCAATCTTTATGGAGGCAGGTTGCCACATCTTTCTTCCACAGAGTGGCTAGTGGGTTCAAACCACCAGCCTTTTGATTATCGGGTGAATGCTTTAACCACTGTCCCACCAGGACTATTTTCTGAGTAAAGTGGACCTCTGGGAAATGTAAAGGACCTTTCCTTATCTCTGAACATTGATATTCAGGTGTTGATGGGACAGTGAGTGGCTGGGAGGAGGCCAAAATCAACAGCTCCAACCCACTGCGCTATGACCGCCAGCGAGGGGAATTCACAGTCACTCGAGCTGGACTCTACTACCTGTACTGTCAGGTAAGCCCCACCTGGCTCCATGGCCAAAGCAGTAAATGAGGGAGGAGGATCTGGTTTGTGAGAAAGGGGGCAAGACATTGGAGAGGGAGATTTTGGAGTTCTGGTGTGATGGGATACCTGGGTCTCTAAGGAAATTTGAAATTGAAGAGAGGGCAAGCAGAGGCCTGGACTCTGCCTGCCCTCCTCCTGCCCCCAGGTGCACTTTGATGAGGGGAAGGCTGTCTACCTGAAGCTGGACTTGCTGGTGGATGAGGCCCTGGCCCTGCGTTGTCTAGAAGAGTTCTCGGCCACAGCTGCCAGTTCTCTTGGGACCCAGCTCCGCCTCTGCCAGGTGTCGGGGCTCTTGCCCCTGAGGCCAGGATCCTCCCTGCGGATTCGCACCCTCCCCAGGGCCCAACTCAAGGCTGCCCCATTCCTCACCTACTTTGGACTCTTCCAAATTCACTGAGGGGCTCTAGTCTCACAGTGGTTCTTCCAAGCTGCTGGCTTCCCACAACAGCTCTCCAAAAACCCTGCCCACCTTGCCCCATTCCCAAATTGCTCATTCCAGACCCCTTCCTCTGTAGGCCTTGGGCTTGTTCACTTGTTGCTGTCCCACAAACATAGTCCCATTCTTTCCTTACAACCTCCCATCTCCGGCTTTCCACCTCACTAATTGATAAAGCCGTGGCCTTTCTACTCCCCCATTTATCTCCTAACTCCCACCCTGACCATGGCCCCAGAACACCATATGTTTACTGTACTCTTGGGCAAAGATGGGTCTGGAAGACCCTTCTTTGGGCACTAAAAGGGGCTGGACCTTGTGGCAGGAAGCTGAAGAGATGGGGACAAGACCAGGTGTCCCCAAATGTAAGGGGTAAGAAAGACCAAGACTAGCTTTGCCCCAATGCATCCCTGTGGATTTTTAAAACAGATATTATTTTTATTATTATTGTGACAAAATGTTGGTAAGTGGAATATTAAAGAGAATAAGTCATAGCCTCTCTCTTTATTGGGGCTTCAGGGGCATTCTCAGGGTAGCAGAGGGCTATGGGAAAGGGGTCTGGGCTTTGGGGTGTAGTGGCCTGGGAGTGGGGACATATATGCCTCTAGTCTCCAGGCATGAGCTAAGACAGCAAAGGCAAACAGCCTAGGAAAAAAAATCACTCCTATGCCAAGGTGCTGCCCAGCTGGCCTCATTTACCTAGGAGGCGGGTTTCCTCCTGCCCGGGGGAATCCCTGCCTGGGAGGAGCGGAGCCTTCCTCTTAGCCACCTGGGGACATTTGGCAGAAACTGGCACTGGCTGACTTTGGTTCAGGGTGGGAGCAGGCCTGGGGGTCCCAAGACTGGGTCCGGGAAGAAACCTACAGTGGCTTGGCTGCTGTGGCTCCTTTTTCTCTCTCGTTTTATCCATAGCCTTATGTAAGAGCTTTTCTTGGGAAACAGGAAGTCTCTTGCTTGCCAAGTTCAGCACAGGGAGCAGTACAGACCTTATTCCAACACACCCGGCCTGGCCTTAACCCCAGAGCTCAGCCAGTCTCTGGCTTCCTCCACCCTGGTTCTTCTCCCCACCAGCTCAAACCCCCCTGGCCCACTCCCATCACCTCTAGAAACATCTCCAAAGACCTTGCCCTGAGCCTGAGCCAGATGGTCTGCTGGCCTTACCCAGACCCTTAACACTGACCAGCTGGTCCCCTCCATCCCTCCTCTTGGCACCATGCCCCAGAGCCACCAACCCGCCCTCCCCCACTTCTGGGGCCGCCCCAGGCTCCGGTGCTCAGGCCGCTCCCCCTGGGTGTCACTGGCAGCCCCGCCCTTCCCAGACAGACCCATTTCAGAGTCTCCTCAGGCTGGGGAAGGGGGTAGGGGTCTCAGAGGTAATACCAGCCCATAGCGGGTTGCCAGACACACCAGACAGTACCCTTAGCTTGCTTTCCTGCTCCCTCCTTTTTATTCTCAAGCTCCTTTTTATTTCTCCCTTGCGTAACGCCCTTCTTCCCTTCTGCAGGGTGCCCACACCCCTATCTGTCACCTCCTTGCCACCCCACTCCTGAGGCCACAGCGGTTGGCTGTATCCCCAGGTCATGCTGGCCTCCTCTCCTTCCTCAGTAGCCCCCAAAGGGCCCCCAGGTGACATGGGGGAGCCAGCTCGAGAGCCAGCACTCTCAGTTGCCCTCTGGTTGAGTTGGGGGGCAGCTCTGGGGGCTGTGGCTTGTGCCATGGCTCTGTTGACCCAACAAGCAGAGCTGCAAACTCTAAGGAGAGAGGTGAGCTGGCTGCAAAGGACTGGAGGACCTTCCCGGAAGGGGAATGGGCAGCCCTGGCAGAGCCTCTGGGAGCAGGTGAGTGAGGTGAGAAGGCTGTCTGGGAGAGAAGGATGGTGGCAGGGGGTCTCTGGGCCTCTCCTATCCTGCCTCCTGGTCTGCAAAGCTTCCAGAGGGTATAAGAGAGGGTCCCGGATCTGGAAGGAAAAGAAGCGGCCATTCCAAGAAAGGAAGCTGTTAAAGATTAATGCTTCTCATACCTAATAGATCCTGGAGGGCAGCCAGCACCAAGACTCAGGGTGCTGGGGAAAGGTTCAATAGAAAAGTCCAGTATTCCTGGGGAGGGCTGGGAAGGAAGACTGGTTGAGACCCCTTGCATCTTTGTCTAACTTTGACCCTTTTTCCATGATCAGAACCCTGAGGACCTGGAAGCCTGGGAGAACGGGGAGCGATCCCGGAGGAGGAGAGCAGTGCTCACCCCAAAACAGAAAAGTGAGGCCTCCGGGGCACCTAAGGGGTGGGAGGTGATTAAGCAGCCTGGGATGGGCTGAGGGGGGCTGAGAATAGGGCCCTGCTGAGATTTCTTCTTCTCTCTTCAGAGAAGCATTCAGTCCTGCACTTGGTTCCAATTAACATCACCTCCAAGGGTAAGCACTATTTAAATAATGGTTTTGTGGGAGAAATTGGAACTGGGGGATTTGGGGCTGACATCTGGATCCAAGCAAATCCATCAAGTATCTGAGAGTGCTCAGAAATTCTGACTGCCACATTCCTCACCTCCAGAGGACTCTGATGTAACAGAGGTGATGTGGCAACCAGCTCTCAGGCGTGGTAGAGGCCTGGAGGCCCGAGGATATGTTGTCCGAGTCTGGGACGCTGGAATTTATCTGCTCTATAGCCAGGTAACCCGTCATACCCTGAACCTCACATGGGTATCCCACCCCTGAGCGTTCCTGGCCCATTTATCCAGATCAAGCTTTGAAGAATCTTCTTCATTCCCTGCCTTCATATCAGAGCGCCTGAGACCTCCAAGACTTGGGTCATGGCCATCCTGTTTTATTTCTTCCCTGTCGTACCAGGTCCTCTTCCACGATGTGACTTTTACCATGGGTCAGGTGGTATCTCGGGAGGGCCAGGGAAGGGAGGAGACTCTATTCCGATGCGTACAAAGTATGCCTTCCAATCCAGATCGGGCCTACAATAGCTGCTACAGTGCAGGTGAGAGCCATGCAGGCAGGGGAGGGTGGATGCAAAGAGAACAGGATAGGTCTCTGATCTGGAGGTGGTGGTGCAGGGAGCTATACAGTGGGCGGGGAGCGGGGGTTGAGGATGGGGGGAGTTCTTGAAGTGAGGAACAAAGGAAGAACACCGAGGTTCTTGTAGGAGACAGAAAAGGTGGAGCTGGAGAAGGGAGGGTGAGACATCAAGGCTCTGGATGATGGCTGTGCCTCGCTAAGCATCTGTTTCCCCCCCTTTCTCAGGTGTCTTCCATTTATACCAAGGGGATATTCTGAGTGTCATAATACCCCGGGCAAGGGCCAAACTTAGCCTCTCTCCACATGGCACCTTCCTGGGACTTGTGAAACTATAATTGTGTTATGAAAGGTGGGTCTGAGCTTGGAAGACCAGGATGAATAATATATGTTGGAGACAGTCAAGAGCTGACCAGAGGACTGGAGTGAGCAGGAATGGAGGCCTTTCCTGGGTTGGACTTCGACTCTCTGATCCTCTCTTTTCCCTTCCCTCCTCTACTTCTAGGCCTGTGATTTCATGGATATTAAAAAGCTAGAAGAGCTTGCTTTTATGCTCATCCAAGGGAAGGGGGCGCAGTCATTGTCCAGACCTACTATGTGGCCCACTGGAAAGCTTCCAAAACAGCACTACCATCTAGTGGCAGTTTGAGGGAATCATCCTGCCTGGACAGAGGTCCAGGAAGCTGCCCAGCAAACACTCAGGAAAACCCCTGGCGTTCTATGCCACACCCCTCTCAAGGTATCCAACCTCTTCGCACCCTAAAAAGTCTCACCCTCACCCTACTGGCTGCTACCCTCCACACATTTCTTCCTCTCCATTTATTGAGCACCAGTTTCCATCCCTATCTCTAGAAGTGCATTTATTATGCACCTGTTTTCTGGGAGTGTCCGACGATGATCCCTTTGCAGCCACATTGCTTTTTCGGGCTCCAAATTTTGCCTTTCATACTCTCCACTCCCTGGCGTAGCAAGTCACTACAAGCCTCTCTGAGATAGGACTGGTCCCCGGTGAGCCCTGAATGGATCGTACGGCCTAGTGCCGGTCCAGCGTTAACTCTTCAGAACTATCCTTTCTACTCAAGTCTTACTCAAAGTTAAATAAAAGAGAATGAAAGATACTCCGGATTTATTTCCCCCACTGTCTCGTCTCAGTCCCATCCCTGTACCGGCATTTTCCTGCCCTCCCAGTTTTCCTCTGGCATGTTCCGCTGAACGAAAGTATTGGGGGGGCTCCAGTGACACACCCACGAGGGCCTAGAAAGTAAGGGCTATGTAGCGAAGCGAGAAGCAGGATGGGGTACGCAAGCGCAAAAATGCAAAAGGGGAAGCAGCTGCAGGCAGACCAAGGTAGCGGGCACGCGCAGGCGCAGTCCTGGATTGAGGGCTCCGGGGCGGGACACTCCCGTGGCGTCTTCGTTCTTGGGTAGGCGGGATTAGGCGCGTGGTGCCCGCGCCGGCGCCGTTCGCCGGGTGTGACGCATTAATCGTGCGCCACCGCTGCCGGTGGGCCTGGGGCTCACGGGAGGGGAAGAAGAAGGGGGAGGGGGAGGTAGTGGAGGGGGAGGCTAAAGCAAAGCCAGAGGCGGCCGCGGTAGGGCGGCTCGGCTCCGCAGCTCGCGACCAAGGAGCGCTGGAATCTTGAATTGAGGCGGCTGTGCCTGAAGACAGCAGGAGTGGCGGGACCGTCGCCGGAGAGATGAGCCGGGAAGCCTGAGGCTGGAGACGCCCGCCCTCCGGCCCGTTTACCCGGCTTCCCCGCTCCCGGTGAGGACGCTCCTAACCCTCCCCCAGCCCTGCCTACGGCCTTTCCCATTCTGATAACCTCGCTTTCACTTAACTAGGGCCTCCTTGAAGGGTCTTCTTAAGGCCCTTGTGCCCTGAGCCACCCGGTCATGGGTCGGATTCTGTGGGCCCCGGGGAATGAGGCAAAAGGGGGGCTGGGCCAGCTTGGCTCGAACGCCGCAGATCTGCTCCAGCGTCCTGCTTCTGCCTTTGCACCCATTCGGCTTTCTCCGTTTCCTTCAAAATCCTACCCCTTTCATCCAACTCTACCCCCTGAACCATAGCCCTGGTGTTCCCCTTCCTTTCTGAAAGGACTTCAGCATGCATCATGCACCACCCCACCCCCATTCCTCACAGGGTAGTAGAACAGAACTCTCTTCCCCACTAGAACCCGTAGTTTCCCTGTGGTTCATACCTGTGTACTGTTGTGTTCATACCTGTGTACTGTTGTGTTCATACCTGTGTACTGTGTCACAGGAGTTCCTAGCTGAGTCACCTGAGTAAAGATACCACCCTGGTAGGCTCTCAAAAGACACAGATGGAACTATTCAATAGAGTTAGAAAATAATGGGTTCGACTCAGAGAGCTGAGAAATAAGACCACCAAGGCCTACTGCTTAACCTTCTCCAAGATGATGCCAGTCTCTAAAATGACCCTTTGTAGACTGTTGACTGGAAAGACCTGAAATTACGATTTTTGCATTTTTTCCCCCTCTTAGTTTTTGTATGAATACAGAGGTGACATGCTGAGGTAGACATGAGGAGCAGGAGGTAGCATAGTGGTTAGGAATCAGGCTGCTAATCTCACGGTCAGCAGTTTGAAACTACCAGCTGTTCCGCAGGAGAAAGATGAGGCTTTCTGCTCCTGTAAAGATTTACAGCCTCGGAGAGTCGGAACCGACTCCATGCATATTAACAACAACAACCTTTGTTTTACAGGCTGTTGGAAGATGAAAGAGACTATACAGGGGACTGGGTCTTGGGGGCCTGAGCCTCCTGGACCTGGCATAGCCCCACCTTACTCAAGCCCCAGGAGGGAGCGTCTTCGTTGGCCCCCACCCCCCAAGCCTAGACTCAAATCAGGTGGAGGGTTTGGGCCAGATCCTGGGGCAGGGACCACAGTGCCAGCCAGATGCCTCCCTGTCCCTCGGCCCTCCTTTGATGCCTCAGCTAGTGAAGAGGAGGAGGAAGAAGAGGAAGAGGAGGAGGAAGAGGAGGAGGAAGTGGCAGCTTGGAGGCTGCCCCCCAGATGGGGTCAACTGGGAGCATCCCAGCGACCTCGGCCGTCCCGCCTCAACCATCGAAAAACCTGCTCACAGCGCCGCCGTCGAGCTCTGAGAGCCTTCCGGATGCTGTTCTATTCAAAAAGCACCTCACTGACATTCCACTGGAAGCTTTGGGGGCGCCACCGGGGTCGGCGGCGGGCCCTCATGCACACCAAGAACCATCTTTCACCCCAGGAAGGGGGCGCGACACCACAGGCGCCATCCCCCTGTTGTCGTTTTGACTCCCCCCGGGGGCCCCCTCCCCCCCGGCTGGGTTTGTTAGGTGCTCTTATGGCTGAAGATGGGGTGAGGGGGTCTCCACCTGCGCCTACCGGGCCCCACACGGAGGACAGTGGGCTCCCATGGACTCCAAAATCGCCTCTGGATCCTGACTCCGGTAAGATAGGAAAGGGCTTGGGGTCACAGGGAGGGAGGGAGAAGAGCTAAGGGCCGGGAGCAACAGGCTCCTATTACTGTGGTGAGAACTGGTCCTGAGGAGAGTAGGGTGGCAGAGTGAGGAGCCAGGATAGCTATGAGATGTCTTAAGTCCCACTTGGAGCAGAAATTAAGTTTGGGTAAACACAATCCCTAAGCAGATGTCCTGTGACCTAGAACATAGATGAAAAAGGGAATCATTTCTGGTTTTGACATACCAGTCTTGTTCACTTGAAATATCCCTCAACTTCTCTGGAGCTCACCTAATGCCCAATTTTTGTAGTTGTGCATGACTTCCCACTCAGAGCATTTCCCTTTGGGAGAAATCCAGCCAAATGTGTCAGGCCTTTTGGCATTACGTACCTTTGAGTGAGTTCTGGCTCTATAGCAACTCTGGTGGGATTTGAACCACCAACCTTGTAGATAGCAGTCCAATACTTATCCTTCAGCACCACAGCTGGACTCCCTTTACAACATTTAAATATTCAAATATCTATAGAGCTTTTATTATATGCCAGGTATTATACTAGGTGTTAGACATATGGTGATGATAGATATCTCTGATATTTATATCTCAGAATCCTAAGCTTTTGTTGTTTTCTTCTCTGTCCTTTTGCACATGCTTATCTCATGCTTTGACATTTCCATTCATAATGATACTATGCTCCATTCAAAATGATACTGTGCTTCAATTTATAATTTGTGTGCATCATCTGATCCCCATTGTCTCTTGCTATGGGTAAATTTCACATCCGCATCCTTTTCCCGCTGCCCTACAGGCCTCCTGCAGTGTACTCTGCCTAATGGCTTTGGGGGGCCACCAGGGTCAGAAGGGGAGTGCAGTCTGGCACCCCCTGATGCCAGCATCCTCATCAGCAATGTGTGCAGCATCGGGGACCATGTGGCCCAGGAGCTTTTTCAGGGCTCAGATTTGGGCGCTGTGGAAGAGGCAGAGCGGCCTGGGGAGAAAGCTGGCCAGCACAGCCCACTGAGGGAGGAGCATGTGACCTGTGTGCAAAGTAAGGCACCCTAGAGGACCTAGGTTCTTGCCCTCAGCAGACTGCTAGATCAGAGTCTGGAGGCCTCACCCTGTTTCTCTCCCTGTACTCAGGCATCTTGGATGAATTCCTTCAAACTTACGGCAGCCTCATCCCCCTCAGCACTGATGAGGTAGTAGAAAAATTGGAAGACATTTTCCAGCAGGAGTTTTCTACACCTTCCAGGTGAGGTTTCAAAAACAAATGCCCTTCAAAGGGCAGGCTGGGGGAAAGGGAGAGAATGCTGCTGCCTTTTTCCCCATAGGGAGGAACTTGGAGAGGAGGCAGCTCTAGCTGAAGGGGAGGATTTTGCAGGCAAGGTGCCAGGTCTCTGGAAGTGGACTGAGAGAGTCTTTACATGAGATCTTTAAATTCTGTGCATATTTAAGTATTCCTGTGCCTCTTTATGGGGAGTGGACCTTGAGTAGCCCCTTAAAAGAATCCATGACCAAAAAACAATGACTCCATCTAGACTTTTATTCTAGGCAATAGAAGGGACTTCTCTGTACCCCAGATCCCACACCCCCTTATGTGACTCCATCTTTGACCTACTTAGGAAAGGCCTAGTACTGCAGCTGATCCAGTCCTACCAGAGGATGCCAGGCAATGCCATGGTGAGGGGCTTCAGAGTGGCCTATAAGCGGCATGTACTGACCATGGATGACTTGGGGACCTTGTATGGACAGAACTGGCTCAATGACCAGGTGAGAAGAGATGAAAAAACATGCCTAAAAGGGGATTCAGGGAGCAGGGTGTCTGGGGCCCTCTGCATGGGGGAGCCCTGTGCCCATTCTGCACCCTCCATGGCAAGTTGCCTCTG